TGGTGAGTTGAAAAGCCTACAAAACTCTCTCCAAGATCATCATTGGAGGGGACACCCGCTTTTCAATAAGCCATCTTAGGAACTTGAAAAATCTCCATGGGGAAATTTCTATTTGGGGGCTGGGCAATGTGCAAAATGCAATGGATGCACGTGAGGCAAACTTATGCCAAAAGAGGTTTACCAACATAGAGTTGATTTGGGGAGAAAAGTTTAATGTTCTTCAAACCAAAACACACCAAAAGGAGGTCCTCAATGAGCTGAAGCCTCATCATGATACTTTGAAAAAGCTTCAAATTGTGTCATATAGGGGTATAGAGTTTCCAAATTGGGTCGGGGATCCTTCCTTTTGCCGGTTGACCAAAGTGTCGATAGATGGCTGTGAAGAATGTACATCTCTACCAAGACTTGGTCAACTACCATCCCTGAAAGATTTGTTTATTGGTAGGATGAGTAAGGTGAAGGTCGTAGGTTTAGATTTACATGGGATCGGCCTTGCATTTCCTTCACTTGAAATGCTACATTTTTATGGTATGTCAGGATGGGAGGAATGGTCAACAAATAGTGGGGCGTTTCCTTGCCTTCAAGAGCTTCGTATTGAAGATTGTCCTAATCTGCTTCGGGTCTCGCTTGAAGCACTGCCTTCCCTAAGGGTTCTGAAACTAAGAAAATGTGGTCATGATGTATTGAAAAGACTGGTCGATGTAACTTCATCACTCACCATGCTGGAAATAGATGATATTTCCGGGCTTACTGATGAACTGTGGAGAGGTGTGATAGGGTATCTTGGGGTAGTTGAAGAAGTAAGCATGAAACGTTGTAATGAAATAAGATACTTGTGGGAATCAGAAGCAGAGGCAAGTAAGGTTCTTATGAATTTAAAGAAGTTGGATTTATGTGAATGTGAAAATTTGATGAGTTTAGGGGAGAAAGAAGAGGATAATAGTGGGAGCAGCCTAACATCTTTTAGGATCTTGAAAGTATCGGATTGTAACAGCTTGGAGCATTGTAGTTGTCCAGATAACATGGAGGATTTGGATATTGAAGATTGTGATTCAGTTACATCTATCTCCTTCCCAAAAGGAGGAGGGCAGAAGCTCAAGTCACTTTCCATTAGTAATTGTAACAAACTATTAGAAAAAGACATGGGAGGAGGAGAGAAGATTCAGGTGCTTATCAACCCAAACATGCTAATGCTTGAATCTTTGTATATCTTCAATTGGCCAAATCTAAAATCAATCACTCCCTTGGGCTACTTCATTAGCCTCGTGAGTTTGACAATAATAGAGTGTGAAAGTATGGAGTCATTTCCTGGCCATGAGTTGCCAAATCTCACCTCGTTAACACATCTGGTAATAGTAAAGTGTACAAGTATAGGTATGGATACTTCCTTTCCTAGTGGGCTTTGGCCTCCCAAATTGTGTTTTCTAGGAATAGGAGGGTTGAAGAAGCCTATCTCAGAGTGGGGCCCACAAAATTTTCCAACCTCACTTGTTGAGCTAGTATTATATGCCGGACCAGATGATGACATGAGAGGTTTAGGTGAATTGTCGCATCTTCTTCATTCATCCCTTACTAATTTTGGCATAGATGGATTTGAGAAACTTGAATCAGTTTCAGTGGCACTCCAGCACCTCACCTCCCTCCGGCATCTCTCCATTTACAACTGCCCAAAGACGAAAGATCTACCAGAAACGTTGTTGCCTTCACTTTTGAAATTGACGATAGCAGGATGCCCAAATTTGAAAGAAAGGACTAGCAAAGGAGGCTCCTATTGGCCACTGATCTCCCTTATCCCCGACCTCGACATAGATGAGTAGCTACATCTTTTCAACGGGAAGATACGACCCTCTCTATGCCTTTGACTTCATTTACTTTCATTATGTACCATTTTCCCTTTCAAACAAATTTATTATAAATATAATCTCAATAAAAGTATGTATTTCGTCGAAATTTTATTAATGTTTACATATTTAGTTGCCACGGATATGCTAAGTGCTAACTGATTTTTGGATTTTATTGCCTTTTTTTTTTTTTTTTTTTTTTTTGTGATAATATGACTAGGGTTGTCGATATAGAAGGATATTCATGATGAATTACGAACTGAATCAAAATGATTACCCAAGTCAAATAATTTTAATTAAAAAAAGTATTAGATTTGAACTAGGATTGGTCATCGAATTATCATTATTTGTTAAAAATTTAGTACAACTTAATTATGAAATAATAATAATAATAATAATAATAATAAATAAATAAATAAATCTACTATAATAAATAACGATCATTTTTGCGACATATCGTTCTTATTCATTTTGTCATATGTTATTTTGTAGTTATTTTAAATTAATTTTTAGTTCACATCTAATTTTATGGTTTTTTCCATTGTATTACATTTCAAATATTTAAATGTAATAACAAATGTATATCAATTTCGTTATTGGACTTTCCCTCTAATTTCAAAATTTCTAAATTAAAACCTCATTAGTTTTCTTTGATTATTTAACTAAATTATTTGTTAAAATTTAAAAGAGAAAAAAACACATTAATTTTAACAGTTCAATATTTTTTTTATTATTATAAATTCAAGCTTTTCAAATGTTTAGAATTTCAAATTAAAATTTTTCTTTTAAATAAACTAATGTAATAGATGGATCTTATTCTTATACCTATTAATAATAAAAAAAAAATAATAAAAAAATAAAAAAATTTACCTCTCCACTCAGAATTTTGGTTTCAAACTCAAATTCTAGCTTTGATTTTAGATATGTATTATCCCATTCAATCAAAAATATCCCAATAAATTAGCAAAATTATTTTAATTCCATGGATTATGCAAGAAATCAAGTATCGCAATCCTATCCAAAATTAGGGTGGCAATTGTACCAGTTTGGTCACAGGTTAGTTGTTTGGGAACATCAATTCAGATACGATCTGTATAACTCATTTAATTTTACAGGTTGGATTCGGGTTCATGTGTTGTCGGGTTGACCCATGAACCCAAGTATTATTTTTGTAATAGTGAGTATCGATTTGATTTAGGGCATACAACACACATAAGCTAATAAGGATAGTCGCGCTACTTAAATCTAGTGCTGCAAAAATCAATCGAGGCTCCCGATTAATCGAGGATTAATCGTTAGGTGGTTGTAAACCGACTAGGATTAGGTCTAGCCAGATTAATCGGTGTTGGTCAAAGACGGTTAAATTCGGAGCTAGATGATCCTAATCGGTCCTAGTCGGCCTAGTTCGCCAAAATTTCAAAATTTTAAATATTAAACCAAAATTTGAATATTTAATATTTTAAAATTTAGAATATTATGCCATAATTTTTTAAAAAATTTCAATTTTAAAGATTTAAACCAAAAATTTTAGATTTTTAAATTTTCAAATATAAAAATACCCAAATTTATTTATTTTTTTAAGATATATTAATTTTTGAATAATTTTTCTTAATAATGTATGGCCTCCGATTAATACCTGATTAACCTCCGCCTAGCCGAATAATCCATTAACCCTAATCATCCGAGTAGATGACGTCAAATTTTTTTTACAACCTTTCTTAAATCTCATATATCATGGGGTGAATCTTTACATATCGGGGTTTGAGGTTGAAATCTTTCCAAGGTGGCCGGGAAGGGGATTTGGAGCATCGCATGCAAATGCCAGGCAAGATGTCAGTGTATTATCACCAAATGGTGAACAACATTGGAGGGAGCCTCCTTTAAAGTGGTAATACCCTTTAGAAAATAAAAAGTGAAACTATATATGCTTTTGAGGCTGACCCGTGAACCTAAATACTAACCCAAACCTGAACCGTTTATGTGCTGAGAAGAAATCTGAATCCAAACCCGTTTACTTTCATGTCGAGTTTGTGTCGTGCCATTGGTGGTTTCGAGAATCCCTCCCTCCCCCTAAATTTTTTTGTTCCAAATCAATCAACCCTAAAACTTCAAATTTCATATGCTCAATATTCATCAACCTTAATTTAGAGGGTGTTTGGCTAACAAATTGCTTGGATTAGCTTATTTAGTGTCGAAATGCTATAAAGCTCTATAAGCTGATAAATACTTTTAGTGTTTGGCAAAAAAAAAAAAAAAAAAAAAAAAAAAAAAAAAAAAAAAAAAAAAAAAAGTGGTTGTATGCGTGAAATGACAAAAAAAAAAAAATGCTTCCTTGTACGTTTTGACTTATTTCCTTATTACAACTAACAATTTTTTTTAATTAATAGTAATGGTAATCATTTATATTTGGACTTTTTTTACAAATACATTTTTTTATAACAAAATGATAATAGTTGTTTTCTTTTATTCAATTTACATCCATAACATTATAAAAAATATTTTACCAACCTTATACAAAATATCTAATTTTTTCAATAAAAATTATATAATATTTTTTTCTTTCCAAAACACCATAATATATTAACTTTGCCGATTATAATACTACACTAAAAAATAATAATGATAATACAAAACCATTTCAAAGAAAAATCATACGCCATCACATATACATGTGTTTAACTTGGCGTGTAGCTCTCTCTATCATATCTCGTACAACACTCATATCCAAATCATCAATTTTATGTTATACACTTGACCATTCTTCATGTTTTTCATTAACATATTTAGTCCCCACAAAAAGTGTACTCTCTCTCTCTCTCTCTCTCTCTCTCTCTCTCTCTCTCTCTCTCTCTCCATGGCGCTTTAAACACTTGCGGTCGCTACCTTGACGCTGCATATTTTTTTTTTTCTATTCTGCATCGCCACTAGCATTCCATCAAATTCTTTGTTACAAAATGTAGAGGAGATAAAGAAAGTGGAAGCTAGTTAATGGTCTATCGCTACCTCCTCTTCCCAAGAGGTTGTTTTCTCAAACTTAATGTGGTGTGAATGATGTGCTAGAAATAAATTTGATGACTTGTTAAAGATCCATAAGGGTTGTGATATCACCATATTCAGTTATATATTTTGTGCGATATAATTGTATTTTTAGTTACATTGAGTGATTATTTGCAATAATTGATACTTAATTTGTTCATATATACTTTTGTAGCGGCGAAGACATTTTCGAGGAGAAAGAAGCTAAAATGTTTGGCTTGATGCTAAGGACCGGACAAGATCATCGAAGGGGGAATTCATAAAAAGTTACTTGTCACGATGTGGACATATGCATTCCACAGCGTGGTGACGTGTCAAAACATAGATACTTCCCGGATGACTTGCACAGATTACTTGGAGGCTACATGAAGGAATTGATACCACAACATGGTAAAACATGCACCACAACATGGTGGCACGTTTAATGGAAACATTATAAATATGACTTTAGGTCAAAACCTAATAAGAGAGTTGTAGTTTTCTACGGCTAAAGACGACTAAAAACCCCTTAGAAACCCTAAGGAGGCCATAGATCGATTTAAGAGCGAGATTTGAAGAGATCGAGACACGAAGAGCACGTTAATCATTCGATTTGCGTACCTAAGTATGTTTAGTGAAGTTACATCATTTTTAGTTGTTTTTCTATTTTAGTTATGGGTTAATAACCCTTTACTTTCATTTGGAGGAGACAAACCTTGATACTATGTGTTTATTTCAATATTATTGGATTATTTAGGTTGGTTATTACTTGTGTTTGATAGATCATCTTCCTTAAAATACGTTGTATTTTCTTGATCCACAATGATACAATTGATATCAATATATACAAAGAGGCTATCTCTATTTATGGTTTTATATCAACAATAAAAGTGTATAATCTACTTTCTATAAAAAAAAAAATAAAAAAAAAATAAAAAAAATTCCTCATATTGAGGAAGGGAATAATCATCTGCTAATATAACCCTGCAGTCGATTCGGGAGGATGAAGAAAGTTGAGACTGTTTTTGAAGTCTTCAAAGAGGACAAGAGGTAGGTCCTTAGTGAAGATATCTGCAACTAGATAGCGAGAATGAATGTGAAAAATACGAACTTGACCACATGCTACTTTCTCCCGAACGAAATGCATATTGATCTCTATGTGCTTGGTATGTTGGTGTTGAACTGGGTTACATGATAGGTAGACAACACTAACATTTTCACAACAATACCAATGTGGTTGTAGTTTGCAGAATATGAAGCTTAAGCATTAGGTTTTAAATCCAACATGTCTCAGATACTACATTTGCAAATCCCCTATATTCCGCTTCTACGCTTGATCATGAGAGTGCTGGATGGCATTTGGAGGACCATGAAATAAGGTTGTCTCCTAGATAGACACAATAACCCGATGTGGAACATCTTGTATCTGGATAACCTGCCCGATCAGTGTTTATATAGGCTAGAAGTTTCTTGGATGGTGATTTTGTGAGTAGTAACCCATGAGTGATTATACCTTTGATGTCACACAGTATAAGCATATAAGACCCTCCGGTCACACAATATTACCACTCAGGTAAGTATAGTGAGAAGACCCACCTCGTACGCAAGCAAGTAGGTCTCGTACTCAGCGATCGGTCTAGACTCTGCTTACATATCATAATCATCTCTAATTAACACTTTATAACAACTTTAAAATGTTAAGCTAACCCTTCTTCTAACTCTCGGAGAGGGTGAGAGACCATTTTACCCCTCCATGGTCTCCATAATTCATATCTTGACCAAACCCTAAAAGTCAACGGAAGTCAACACTCGAGTCAATAGTCCATGTTGAACCAACTCGTCGAGTGCATCTATGCGACTAGTCACCAACTTGCCGAGTTGTGACGCGTCCAGACTATCGGGGAAAACCCTAACCAACTCGTCAAGTTGGCTCATCAACTCATTGAGTCGCTTCGGTCCAT